CAAATGGAATTACATGAAATTTGAAAGCTCCTATAATACAGTAGAAGAAACTACCAGCCAAATGAAGACATAGCCTACAAGGTAGATGAGACTCATTGCCAGCTACACATCAGACTTAACATTTAAAATACATGAAGAACTGCAAAAATTAGACACCAAAACCCTAAATCTTCCAATCAGTTATTGAGCTACTGGACTGAACAGATCATTCTCAAAAGAATAATAGTCAATAATATCTTAAAACTATTCAACATACTTAGCCATCAAAGAAGTACAAATTAAATCTACTCTGAGCTAGCCTGCAGCTGGTCTTGGGTCTATAATGATCACACTTCAAAAGACAATTCAAGTGAAAGTCTGAACCGGAAGAACAGTGTCCAAGGATTGCCTATCACACAAGGTTCACTATGTGGTAGGAATCCAGGAAATTCCCTCTCTTTATAAATGAGACTAGAGCACTTATCAAAGAAGCTCATTTTTTTCAACAGATGGAGACTATTACAGAGTTCTACAAATGGTCACACACAGAAATTAAATGTATGAAATGCTGAACACTAAGTGACACATCTGCAATGGAACCTCCACACTTAAGGCTCATGGAACACAGTGGAGCAAGGGGTGGAGAGAATACTAATGCATCTCTCAATTTTCATCAACGAATCCCCCTCATGCGACAGAGGGCAATGAACCCAGGGCTCAAGGACCACTGTGGAAGAGGGGGCAGAAAGATTGTAAGAGCCAGGAAAGGAGGTGCATGACCACATGGAAACAGTCTTACAGGATCCTGGGACCTTGCTCATATGAACTGACAGCAATGGTGACAGCATGCACAAGACCCATGCAAACTCAGACAAAACATGGCACAGAACTGTCGAAATGGGCAGCAGGCCCCAATCTTAGCCAAACAACTATTGGGCAGCTGATTACCGTTCAGTGAGGAAGAGCTGATTTTCCTCAAGAGAGTGACTCTAGATAGGCAACTAGAACCCAGTGGATGAACTTGCACTAATGTCAGGGGACACTAATTTGACTTGCTAGGCCCTAACATAGACAGATGCATGAGGGTGCAGAGGGGGAAGGGGCTATAAAGATGATTAGGACGTATGTGAACTACACAAAAATTCAATTAAAATATGCAAAAAAAAATGAGACTAGATGACTTTTGGCCACTGAAGTTGTGCAGACCTTCAAAAGATTGCCTACTGAGGCACTGCAAACACCTCATAAAAAATGTAGGTGTGAAGAAAAGGCCCAAATGTGTACCCTTAGTGCTCTGAAATATTTACAAACAATTAGACCTGGAAGAGGCAAAGGAGTTTCATTCAATTCCTAGCCTCAGGTCTATTCAAAGCTAACTAGGTTTACAGATGTACATCACACCTCTGCTCAAAGAACTCAGTTTGACACCTTAACACATTTTGTTTTGACAGCATGACTCCTCCAAAAGGTAACCTGATAGACCTCATCACAGTAAACCAGGAGGCAAGTTGAGGTTGAGGAACTGTCCGTGTTTGTATTGCTGGACGTGAAGTAGCGAAGTCAAAGTGACAGAGCACTGCATCAGAGTTTTTAAAATATTTTATTATTTTTATTTTATGTGTATGGGTGTATTACCTGCATGTATGTAAGTGCACCCATGTTGTACAATGCCCATGGAGGTCAGAAGAGGGTGTAGGATCCCCTGGAACTGAAATTTACTGATAGTTGCTAGCTGCCATGTGGGTGCTGGGAATGGAACCCGGGTCCTCTGCAAGAGCAGTCAGAGCTCTTAACCACTGAGCCATCTCTGCAGCTCCCACATAGAGTTGTGAAGGATTCTTATCACAAACATGAACCCTCTTCCTCCACACTGACCTCAATCCCCTTCCCCTCCTCAATTCACTAAGCTAATAAAGTGAAATTGGTATATTTCCCATTAAAAACAAAACTACTTTGAGATTCCATCTTACCCCAAGAACACAAATAACAAATGCTAGAGAGGATGTAGGAAAAAAAGAACACTTATTGGAGGATTTCACAAGCGGCGCAGGGAGTGCAGGCTGGGCCCCCTGACCCTGAGGCGCCACCACTGCTTCTGGGAGGACCTGCGCAGGCCACACGGAGGTGGAAGGGGGCGACTCTACAGCCTGACACTGTTGTCCTCCCCCTTTGGCCAGCCAGGCCTCCAGATGGAGAGGGCAATCAGCCCTTTCATTATTGGCCTTTTGCCACCAATGACCTTTACAATTGGTGTTCGCAGAATGCGACTTTCTCTGAAAACCCAAGGGACTTGATTAACCTATTAGAAACTGTTCTTTTCACTCACCAGCCCACCTGGGACGACTGCCATCAGCTTCTAAGTGTCCTGTTCATCACTGAGGAGCAAAACAGGATGCTGGAGGCAGCCCGGAAATTGGTTCCAGGCCCCACCAGAGATCCTACTACTGATCCAGGCATCATTAATGCCAGTTTTCCCCCTAGCCATCCCAACTGGGATTACAACATGGCAGAAGGTAAGGAGAGGATCCTGGTCTATCGCCAGACTCTGTTAGCAGGTCTCAAGGTGGCAGCTAGAAAACCCGCCAATATGTCTAAGGTCTATGATGTCAGGCAGGAGCCCAAAGAGAGCCTGGCTGCATACTTAGAGGAGTTACAAGACGCCTTACGGCAGTACACTCCATATGACCCAGAAGCAGAGGAATCGGCTCAAACTGTGATGTTTGCTTTCATTAACCAGGCAGCCTCTGACATCAAGAAAAAGCTACAGTCTCTAGATAGACTAGGAGAAAAGAACCTTAGGGACTTAATAGCAGTGGCGGAAAAGGTGTATAATAGAAGGGAGACAGTGGAACAAAAGGAAGAAAAGAGGGAAAAAAGACAGGAAGCAAGTCTGACTAGGGTCCTGGAGAGACAGCAAGCCCGCCACAAAAGAGACCTCAGAGAGATATTATTGGCAACCAACCCCCAGTATGGAGAGAGCTCATCAGCAGGATCCAGACCATGGCACAGAGTAGGAAAGAATCAGTGTGCATACTGTAAGGAAGAAGGACATTGGGTAAGGGACTGCCCTAAGAAAAACAAGAAATCAGCCAAGGTATTACCGGGTGAAGACAGTGACTAGGGGAGACGGGGCTCAGGTCCCCTCCCTGAGCCCAGGGTAACCCTGAAAATAGAGGGGAAACCAATTGAGTTTATGGTAGATACTGGTGCCCAGAATTCAGTTCTATTGGAGCCAAGAGGGCCAGTTTCCTCCAGAAATACATGGGTACAGGGGGCCAGAGGAACAAAACCCTACTCATGGACTACCGGAAGAACAGTAGATTTAGGGAAGGACCAGGTATCCCATTTGTTTCTAGTAATCCCAGAATGTCCCTATCCACTTCTGGGCAGAGACTTATTGTCAAAAATGAGAGCACAAATCCACTTCACAGCTAAAGGAGCCACCTTGCCCGCGATGGGGCACCAATTCAGGTCCTAGTCACCAATGACCTAACCGAGGAATATAGACTACATCAAGAGCCGATTCAACCCAATCCTGAGATAGCCAAGTGGCTCCAAAGATTTCCCCAAGCTTGGGCAGAAACAGGGGGTATGGGACTGGCGGGACACAGGCCCCCCATATATGTTGAACTCAAAGCGGGAGCAGACCCTGTTAAAGTGTGCCAGTATCCTATGCCCCTAGAGGCAAAGTGTGGAATTACGCCACACATTAAAAGGTTGGTGGAACGAGGAATACTGAGACCGATCCAGTCGGCCTGGAACACCCCACTCCTGCCTGTCAAAAAGCCCCAAACTGGGGACTATAGATCAGTACAAGATTTAAGAGAGGTAAATAAAAGAGCCATTGACATTCACCCCACTGTCCCCAATCCTTATATGTTGTTCAGTACCTTGCCACCAGATCGGCAATGGTATACAGTTCTGGATCTCAAAGATGCCTTTTTCAGCCTGCCACTAGCACTAGTCAGCCCTACTTCGCTTTCGAATGGCATGATCCGGAGGCAGGAATCAATGGCCAGCTGACTTGGACACGATTGCCTCAAGGATTTAAGAACTCTCCAACTATATTTGATGAGGCTTTACATGAAGATCTGGGTGAGTACAGAGCCCAACACCCCAACATAAGTCTGTTACAATATGTAGATGACTTATTGGTTGCGGCGCCAGACCAGAAGTCCTGCCTAAAGGGTACTGAGGACTTACTCCACATACTTGGAGAATTAGGATACCGGGCCTCAGCAAAAAAACCTCAGATATGTCTACAAGAAGTGACCTATCTAGGATACATTCTTAAGGAAGGGCAGCGGTGGTTGACTAAGGCCTGCAAGGAAACTGTGCTAAAGATACCTGCACCAACCTCCAAAAAGCAGGTGAGGGAGTTCCTGGGCACTGCGGGGTTGTCACCTCTGGATTTTAGGGTTTGCTGAAATTGCAAACCCCCTATATGAGGCCACCAAAGAAGGACAGGACTTCAGCTGGACACAAGAAAGACAAGAGGCCTTTGAAACCCTAAAACACAAGCTCTTAGAGGCCCATGCTTTGGGACTGCCAGATGTAAACAAACCTTTCTGTCTATCTATATGTGGATGAACATAGAGGTATTGCAAAGGGAGTCCTCACCCAGAGGGTAGGCCCCTGGAAGAGACCTATTGACTACTTATCAAAAAAACTAGACCCCGTAGCAGCTGGGTGGCCCCCTTGCCTGCAAATTATAGCTGCAGTAGCTCTGCTGGTTAAGGATGCTAACAAATTAACTTTGGGACAGGACCTGCTTGCGGCGACCCCTCATGCCCTCGAGGGAGTGCTCAAGCAACCCCTGGATCGCTGGCTGAGCAGTGCCCGTCTGACTCATTATCAAGCTCTGCTCTTAAACCCACTCAGGATCACCTTCCAGGTACCAACAGCCTTAAACCCAGCCATGCTGTTGCCAGACCCAGATCTCGGAGACCCACTTCACGACTGTACTGAGATTCTGGCACAAGTGCACTGCATCCGGCCGGACTTGAAGGATGTCCCCTTACCTGACGCCGAAGAAACCTGGTATACGGATGGAAGCAGCTTCATCAGAAATGGTAAAAGGCATGCTGGGGGAGCGGTCACAACTACCTCGAGCGTCATTTGGGCTGAGCCTCTGTCAACAGGTACTTCGGCCCAAAAAGCTGAGTTGATTGCACTTAGTAAAGCCCTAGAAATGGGCAAGGGAAAAAGACTCAATGTCTACACAGACAGTAGATACGCATTTGCCGCTGCCCACATTCATGGGGCCATCTATCAAGAGAGAGGTCTCCTCACTGCATAGGGAAAAACTATTAAAAATGAACAAGAGATCTTAGACCTCCTGCAAGCTCTCTGGGGCCCAACAAAACTAGTCATAATCCACTGCCCAGGCCACCAACACGATCTTGCCCATTCTTGTTGATCCTGGAGCAAGGGAACTGCCTAAAACTCCCCACTATAGCCCCAAGGACTTAGCCTGGATACAAACTCTCCCTATGACTCAATGCCTAGAGGGCTGGTGGAGGACAATGGAAGGGAAAGTTATCTTACCTCAGAATTTAGGTGTAAGATTGGTCAAGAAAATACATCAAGCATCACATATGGGCACCCGGAGGATGCAAGACTTACTAAGAAGGGCCAAAGTTAAAATTCAGGAAGGAAACCAAGCTATTGAAAAAATTGTCAGGCATTGTGATGCCTGCCAGTTAACCAACTCAGCTCCGTCCCATGCTAACCCTGGATCCAGAAGCAGAGGGACACGACCGGGTATGTATTGGGAAATTGATTTCACTGAAATGAAACAAGGAAAATTTGGATATAAATATTTACTAGTGTTCATAGACACCTTCTCTGGATGGACTGAAGTCTACCCAGCAAACATGAAACTGCACACGTGGTAGCCAAGAAGCTAATCAAAGAAATCCTACGCAGGTATGGTTTTCCAACTACGATCGGATCAGATAATGGGCCAGCCTTTGTCTCTCAGGTAAGCCAGGGAATAGCCACTGCACTGGGGGCCGATTGGAAATTACATTGTGCTTATAGACCCCAGAGTTCAGGACAAGTAGAAAGAATGAATAGAACTCTAAAAGAGACCTTAACTAAATTAGCTTTAGAGACTGGTGCAGACTGGGTGACTCTCCTCCCCTTTGCCCTCTTTAGAATAAGAAACACCCCATACCAGATGGGTCTGACCCCCTTTGAAATCATGTATGGAAATCCCCCTCCTATGATACCCAGCCTTCAAACTGATCTGGTATCGACCTTGGGAGACCAGGATATACTGGACTCCCTCCAACGGTTGCAGCTAACCCATCAACAGGTGTGGCCACAACTCAGGGCTCTTAACGAAGCCGCTGTTCCCCCTCAACCCCACAGGTTCAAGCCCGGCGAGTGGGTCTTCATCCACAGACACCAATGGAAAAACCTTGAGCCGCGATGGAAGGGCCCCTTCATGATTCTCTTAACCACCCCCACCGCACTCAAAGTGGACAGCATCGCGGCTTGGGTACACCACTCCCACGTAAAACCAGCCGACCCTCTTGCAATCCCAGAAAGTTACAAGGGAGACACCTGGACAGCATCCCCACATCCTTTGAATCCATTCAAGCTTTGCATTCGACGGGATCCTTCCTGCTAACCTGTCTATTACTGATATTGAACTGCTTGTCGGCTAGTGGCAGCCTTCCTGCAAGTAACACAAATCCTCATATGCCTGTGCAGGTTACTTGGACAATCACCAATCTAGAAACTGGGCGGGATCCTTCCTGCTGACCTATTACTGATATTGAACTGCTTGTTGGCTAGTGGCAGACTTCCTGCAAGTAACACAAATCCTCAATAAATTAGTACAGTTCATGAAAGATAGGTTGGGCACCATCCAACTTATGGTTCAGAGATAAGTCTACATGCCTCTCAGTACAGCCCCCCCAGATACCTGTGCACTGGCCAATCAGAACCCATGATTGGGTTCCCCAGTCACAAGACAAGGGGGGAATGTAGGACCCTGAGACCCTCCTCAGAGCCCCCACTAATTGCCTTCATAGCTTACTGCTTTAAACATGCCCTGACCCTCCCCCCCTGCTGCTCCCTCCTCCTCCCCTCTAAGAAACTATAGATTAGGCAAGCCCGGACACAAAACTGCCCTATAAGGAGACTCCTGACCCCACAGGTGACAGTCAGCACATTCCACAACCCTGAGAACAGCACCCACCAATGGAAAACCTCCAGATCTGTACTCTATATGTCCAATCAGTTCAAAATTATGTTGGCGCGCACTGGCTCCTTAAACCAACCAAAAATGTAACTTCAGAATCCCCCTCCTCCCTTTGTCTAAAACTTATAAAAGACTACACTCTCCCTTACTCCAGGCTCTCAGCACAGATCCGCTGCATTGGTGAGGTCTGAGAGCCCGAGCTTAAGCCCGAATAAACCATAAACCCTTGCTTTTGCATTTTGGTGTGTTGGGTCCTCGGTGATCTTTTTGGGGTCCAGTGGATGAGGTGTAACATTTGGGGGTTCTCCCTGGATTCCCCCAGAGACCCCTGAGAGGAACCAACCCCAAAAGGTTTGTGATCAACTGGCCGGGTAAGTTTTTGTAAAATTGTGTGTGCTTGTCTTCTCTACACTTATACTTTGGTCGTGACCATCTGATCTCAGTTTTTCTTGTTGCTGGAACGTTAGTGTAGCGACCTGGAGGAATTGGGAGACGTCCCCATCCTCGTCGGGGTGGGTATTCCTCACCGGAAACCCCACCAGGACAATAGTCCGTCTGAAACCTCAGAGGACCACGCGACCCTGTTGGGACACGTGCGTCCTATCTGTACAGTCTTTGGCATAATTGAGGCAGGGAATTCACATGGCCGAGAGCCCAGACCATCTGAAAGCCGTGGCAGTTTATTTTGGGCCCTCTGTCTGTCTGTGTCATTCTTGTGTCTCGTGCTTTTTTGCTCTAATTTCTTTGTTGACGAAACAGACGGGACTGACAAGCACTATGGGCAACGCCCCTGGACCTTACGCTAGTCCCCTGGGGGGACGTCAAGGCAATCGCTCATAACAATAGCGTAGATATAAAAAAGAAAAAATGGACAACCTTGTGTTCAGTAGATTGGCCCTCCTTAAATGTCGGGTGGCCACCTGAAGGGACTTTTAATCTAAGTTTGATTTCCAGGGTAGAGGAATACGTCTTTCGCCCTCAGACAGGACACCAGGACCAGATCCCATACATCGTGACCTGGCGGGGCCTCATCGAACGACCTGAGGGCGCCCCCACCTGGGTCAAATCTTTCCTGCCTCCAACTAACCTGACTGCCCCACCTCTGCAGGTTTTCTCCCTGAAGCAAAGGTGGAGGAGAAACCCATTCTCCAGGGAGGCAGTGCTGTGTAGCCACTAAGGAAACTGATGTGGATGTTGCTCAAAACACTTGAAGAACTACCATACACCCCAGCTATATCACGCTTGGCCTTATTCCCAAAGGACTCTATATCCCACCACAGATATGTGCACATCCATGTGTATTGCTGTAATATTCACAACAGCATGAAAATAGAGCCAGCCACAATGTCCATTGACAGATGGTAAAAAAAAGTGTTACATATACATGATGGGGTTTTTTATTCAGCCACAAAGAAAAATGAAGTCATGATGCTTGTAGGAAAATGGAGCTGACAATACACAGGGAGGTATCTCAGATTCAGAAAGACAATGCTGCATGGCAATTTCCTCCACACTGAAGTATCTCATCCCCAAAGAAAGCTTCCTAGGACCCAGGAAGTTCTAAAGGGAGACTTGGTAAGACTGGGAAAGTAAACAACACACTCCTCAGGAACTTATCAGAATCACAGGGCTCCTCCCTCCCTAAGGTCATATAAGCAGTAAGACTACTCAGTGGAGGAGGCTCTCCAGCCAATTCAGCTGCCTGAAAGTCATGCAGAGGGCTTCAGGGTTTCACTGTTGTGAGTCATCACCCAGGCTGGGGTGGAGTTTTGGTGATTATAGCTGCCTTTGAGTTGTTCCTGTAAGAAACCCCCCACCTATGCTCCTGTTATGTAACCACAATAAACTTTGGTGGTGGTGTTATTCTGTTCTGTCATTTGGCTCCTTACCTGGGGTAAGTAGATGACTGTTCACATCTCTCCAGGAATATTATCACATAACAGACAAATACCACACATTTTCTCTCATTCGAGGATCCTAGATTTTAGTTATTATGTGTGTAGGGGAGCATGGGTCATAAAACTAGAAAGGTGACCATGATAGGGGGAAAAGGGAGAAGAGGATAATAGAATACATATGATATGAAAGCAGAAGGGGGGCCACTCAGGGCAGGAAAGGGACAGCAGAAGGGAGGTGGGGGTGGGGCAAGAGAAGGGCACCAACAACAAGATGAACAAAAAGCCATAAATGCCAACAATAAATTAGTCAAAAAAATAAAATATGAGTGCTGGAAAGATGGTTCAACAATTAAGAGTACTGGCTGCTGTTGCAGAGGACCCAAATTCAGTTCCCAGCACCCACATAGTGGTTAACTCCAGTTCCATGGGATCTGACATCCTCTTCCGGACTCCATGGACAACATGTGTGCACTTATATGCATGCAGGTAAAGCACTCATACAAATAAATAAATAAATAAATAAATATGAAAGGAAGTCCATTTACAAATGCCTCATGAATAAAATATGGGCTAGCAAGGTAGCTCAGTGGGTAAAGGTGCTTGCTGCCAAGGCTGAATACCTTAGTTCAATTCCTGGGATTCACATGGTAGAAGGAGAGAACTGATTTCCATAAGTTGTTCTATGACCCTCCCCACTGCATTCACTCATTAGGCCTTAAAGAAAAACAGAGGACATGAAACTGGGCAGGGTTAGTAAAGGAGATGTAGGTGGGGAGAGGTCTCAATAGCATCAAAATATATGGTATGAAATTCCCAAAATTTCAATAGAAATACCTAAATTTTTAAAAATAAATATGTAATAATTTTTTTCTAAACTAATCTGCACATTTTTATTCTAAGCAGTAAACATAATTGCTATAGAACATCTTGTGAAATGTTACTTGATTATCAACAAAAACATTTCACACAATAAAGAATGCAAGGTATCATCTTACAACAGTATCTTTGTCAATCCTGATCTAAAATGTATTTGAGCAAACAAAAATCTTTTTTAATGAATTCTGAAATCTTACT